AAAATAAAATAAAACAAAGTAGTAAAACAAAAAAAAACGTAGAAAATATTGTGGTTTCTTTACAATACAAATTTGATTTCTTTTTGGTAGCAGAGTAAGGAGCGCTAGCTTAGACATCAAGAAATCTTTCTGGTCTTGGTTCAGCCGGTAGCTGACATTATGTCCTTGGGCAGATCACTTCATCTCTCTTTTTGGGTCTTGGTAGCTTTATTCATTGACCCAGGAAGTTGAACTAACTGGTCTCCAAGGTCCATTCCTGTTCTAAAATGTGATGATTCTATTTATGAATTTCTCTTTAATATGGCATAGTTACTTCTGTGATGTTTTGTGTACTTACACGAGTTTCCTTTAATTTTAGATATGATGAATGGATTAAAGCAGATAAAATAGTAAGACCTGCTGATAAAAATGTGCCAAAGATAAAACATCGGAAGAAAATAAAGGTAAGTGCTTATTTTGCTACATCATAGCTGTTAATTAAAGAACTTTTCCTCTAAAATGATGCATTAAGCGTGTGTGCTTTAGTGTTAGTAGAGATAGCAATACTCTTAGAACAGCGAATTTATCAAATGCTAGATTTGGGTATAGTTAAAATTGTCAGCTTATGGAAAGGTCTTTTGGAAACAGTACTAAATGATCTTTGAGGCTTTTTTAGTCCCAATATTGTGTAAGGCCACCCAGCCAGGTTTCACTTACTTATTCCAGTCCTTTTTGCCCCTCTCGTCACCCGCTAGGAGCCATAAAATAGTGTGGCTGGGAGCTTGGTTTATTGTAATGGCTGTAAACTATTCAGGAGAAGAAAAGGAGGGGAGGTATCTGAAGGCAGAGGAGAGCCTCTCTGCACCTCCTCTGTTTCTCTTCTTCTTTATCTGACTCTATTTGCAGGGGCTTAGAATGTGTTCACAGGATCCTGTTAGCCCCACCATAGATGGGTACCATGGGGAATCTATTAATGAGCTTGTGTGGAAATTAATGCTACTGTTGTGCATGATAGAATTACTCTTATTTATTCTAAGTCTTTTAATTGTTTTATTAGAAGGTCGACCATTAACTAGGTTTTAAAATGTTTTTTTATCTTTTTAATGGCTTTTTTAACTTTGAATGATATGTATAGTTGAGGTATTCAGTAGTTTTTCTGAAATTCGATCTTCGTATTCACGTGAGAAGCTGTTTCCTTTCCTGCTGGTGGCCCCAAATAGTGCAAGCTTTCCCCCAGAGTGGTTGTTCTTTTCTCACTGTAAAATTCGGTCTGTCCTTCAAGTTTTGGTATAGCAACCCGGGAACTACAACTAGGGCTTCTCAAACCCCTTTCATCTTCACTTTTGGTCTTTATTGGCAAGTATGGAAATCAGGATATTTAGCATTATTTTTAGCTACTGGAAGAGTTGTGTGTGAGTGGTGTTAAAAAAAGCCAGTTTCTGTATACAAAGCAAGTTTTAGGAGGGAGTATTTCTCAGGTAGAGGGAGGGGTTAGGGATGGGAGAAACGGTATTAGAATATTCCCTAGGGAGTTTTTTTCCCCTCAGTATTTATTCTCAATTCAGTTCTTGGCCCCTCCCAGGTCATATTACAGTTCCTGGTCATTAGGGAAGAGGCATGTAAATTTTGAAAAAGCTTCCTACATAACATTCTTTTTTTTTTTTTTTTTAAATTTACCTCTGTGTGATGCAAACTCCCTTTTTTTTTTATTCTTATGTTAATCCCCATACATTACATCATTAGTTTTAGATGTAGTGTTCCATGATTCATTGTTTGTGCATAACACCCAGTGCTCCATGCAGAACGTGCCCTCCTCAATACCCACCACCAGGCTAACCCATCCTCCCACCCCCCCTCCTCTAGAACCCTCAGTTTGTTTTTCAGAGTCCATCGTCTCTCATGGTTCGTCTACCCCTCCGATGTCCCCTGCTCATTCTTCCCCTCCCGCTACCTTCTTCTTCTTCTATTTTTTTCTTAACATATATTGCATTACTTGTTTCAGAGGTAGAGATCTGAGATTCAACATCTACATAACAATCTGATATTGCACACCCCTCTCTCACTCTGTCTCATCTGTCTTCTGATAGCCATTAAAAGTCATATTTGAATTTTGAATGGGGTGGACCTTTTCTGCCCTCAGAATACATGTTACATTATGATCTCTGGAATAAAATAATGAAGTAGTGAAAAGGCTAGCAACAGGAGACAAATGGAGCAGCACTAATTATTGGTAGGTTGGGATCATCTACCTACACTACACATCAGACTTTTCAGTCCATTCTGAGAATTAAGGCCAGATGTCTTAAGTGAGTGGCTCTCCCACTTGAGCACCTATCACAGTCATCTGGAGGACTTGCTGGAACTCTGATGGCTTGGTCCCATCCCCAGCATTTCTGATTCACTAGATGTGAGGTTGGTTCCAGGAGTTTGCATTTCTAACACATTCCCGTAAGATGCTCATGGTGCGGGCCCATGGACCACACTTGGAGAACCATTACCCCAGAGCATCTGCAATATGTAATGAATTACCTTCTGTGAATCCAGAATCATGATAGTGATGTACCATCTTTGGGAGAAGTGTGAAAATAGTCACTGAGATTCTATAGTCTGTCTCTATAATAGGATTTCAGAGTTGTTTACTGCTCCATCATGCTCTACATCATCATTTAGGAACCTTGTCTAAATGATTTTTCCTATAAATTATTTTCAAAACAAAGTTAAAAAGCAGTTTCCAGGAAGTATTTTAGCTAGCCTCTCCTCATTTTAGTTGTAAACAGACAGTTTTTTCCCCTCAAACGTTAATTTATCAACAAGGCAGGAAGGTTGCCTCGCGACTTCACATTATAAGAGATCATTTGTTTACAGTTATTCCCAGTTATCAGCTAAATGAAGATGTTTGGAATTTTGTCATTCCCAACCCACATTTTATATTGAAAATGTTACAAGTTTTGAAACTACCAGGTTGAAATTTTTTTTTTTAATGAATATTTAAGCCTTTTGGGATTTAATTTTGAAGAATTTGTAATGTCAGTTATTAGCAGTATCCTGTAGCATTTGTTAAAAACTGGAAAAACATTTCTGGCTGTTTTTGGGGAGCTTCCTACATTCTTTTCATATTATTTAATAATATAAAATACAACTTTGAATTTAAAATGTGTGTTAACATTGTTACTAATAAATGCCTCATGATAAATTATGGTTAACATGAGATACTTTTTTTTCTTAACCTAGAATAAATTAGACAAAGAAAAAGACAAAGATGAAAAATACTCTCCTAAAAACTGTAAACTTCGGCGCTTGTCAAAACCACCTTTCCAGACAAATCCATCTCCTGAAATGGTATCCAAACTGGATCTTACTGATGCCAAAAACTCTGATACAGCTCATATTAAATCCATAGAAATTACTTCCATCCTTAATGGACTTCAAGGTAAACATAGCAAATATCCTGTTGCATGCAACTATATGTTTTTAGTTGTTATAAGTCAAATTCTATAAAGGCAGTTCACTGGTTTTTTTTTTTGTTTTTTTTTAAAGATTTATTTGACAGAGAGTGAGAGACAGGGAGAGAGGGAACGCAAGCAGGGGGAGTGGGAGAGGGAGAAGCAGGCTTCCCGCGGAGCAGGGAGCCCGATGCGGGACTCGATCCCAGGACCCTGGGATCATGACCTGAACCGAAGGCAGACGCTTAACGACTGAGCCACCCAGGTGCCCCGGCAATTCACTGTTTTTAATTGGACCATAATTTTGTTGTCTGTTATTTGAAATAAAATCAGCCATTGATTGAGGATTGGAAATATTTCTATTATTAGTAGATCTAAAGGTGTCATTAAATTTTAGTTATGATTTATTATTCACCCTACAGTACTGTACTGTGGGTTTTTCAGGTACTGTCCTTTTCTGTTGCCACATAAAACATGGTTTGTGTTATGCAATATTAGACTATATACTGAATTTTTTTCATAAAGAATACCAAACTTTGCTTCTCGATTACATTTATTATAGTCTCTTTTATGATGGCATTATTGCTTAATATTTAAGGCAGAATGAAGTATAACTATCAAATAATAAAAATGAGGAAAACTGGAGAGGGGATTTAATAAATTTGACTGTCAGGGAAAGGGGGAAATATGACCTATTAAATGAAGTATGTATCTTCATAAAAATATTTTACATTTCTCATTACTTAAGAGTTTGGATTTTTACTCATTTAGAATGTGACAAATTGTTTTATGTCTCTTAGTTCAGATGGTTATTTATATAAACTAATTTTATAATGCTGTAAATATTCTTAAGTTCAGTCTTTATAATTTTCTGATGTATCAGACATACAGACAGTATATCAAAATATATATATAATATAAAGAATAATATGAATATGAACACTGGTGTGTCTGTCATAGTGGTGAACAAACAGTATTTACTTAAAAGAATTTTGCATTTCTGCCCCAGAAGTAAGTAATATCCTGATTTTTAAAAAAAATTTTTTTAAAGATTTTATTTATTTGAGCAAGAAAGCGAGTGGGCACACGAGATAGAGAGCACACAAGCAGGGGGAGAGGCAAAGGAAGAGGGAGAAGCAGACTGCCTGATGCAGGGCTCGATCCCAGGGTCATGACCCGAGCCGAAGGCAGATGCTTAACGACTGAGCCACCCAGGCGCCTGTAATATCCAGATTTTAGTGTGATCATTCCTTTACTTTTCTTTAGAACTAAACATATATGTATATATTAAACATAAATATATATTTCTAAAGAGCATATTGTTTAGTTTTTTTTAAACTGAGTAGCAAGCATAAGCCTTGCTGTGTGAGAAAAGGCAATATTTCCACTCAGATGAAGGCTGCCTGAGAATGTTACCTGAATAGAGTCTGTAGGCCATATTCTTATTTCATATTCAACTTCTCTGAGAGTTTGCAAAAGCATCTCTAAGGGAATTCAGTGGGGCAAGGTCATAAGGGAGTTCTGGGAAATATCGGGGCTCACCATGATCAGAAAATCTCATGTAGTTGTAGTGGATGATGAACCAGGAATATGAGAGTAGTAAGCTGCTCTGTATTTTCTGATTCTAGGCTTACCAAATATACCTCTAGCTTTCAGGTGCAGGTCAAAGAAAAACGTTTCTGCTGGGTAAAGTGATGCAGTCAGCTGATCGGAGTAACACCTGGCAGACATGGAGGGGAGAGCTAGAAAAGTTCATCAACATGTTGTTAAAACAAGCTAAACCTATTTAAACTCCTTCAGACTGTATGGGGGCAGCAGGCATCGTAGTGATAGTAGTCTTCATATTACCTTCTTTGGAAACAACACTGCTAGTATGGACTGGTGTCCTTCTGCATCTGGTATACAGATATCTTCCTGGGGATAGATCCCATTCTAGGGATCACTTTTCAGAGTACTCCTTGGGATTCCTTTGTTTTGGCATCTCATGTCTTTTTTACCCTCCTTGAGCATACTCTCATTGTGGTGGAACATATTCTCTAGTAACTTTTTAAGAACAAGTGAGTGAGAAGGCAGGTTAAGTTTTTAGAGACTGTGTATGTCTGAGAAAATGTATTCTGTGCATGGTTTAGCTGGGTTGAATGTTTTTCCCTCAGTGTTTTATTGGTATTGTTCAGTTGTCTTTTTTTCTTCTAATGTTGTTTCTGTGAAGTCCAGAGCTCTTCCAATTACTTATTCTTTCTTTGTGACTTGTTTTAATACATGGGTTTTTTGTTTGTTTGTTTTGTTGTTTTTTTGCTTATCCCTGTATTTGGAATCTTGAATCTTTGTTTTTAATGTCCTAAAATTTTTATCCACTGTCTTGTGTTTTTGGTAGGCTCTTTTCATTCTAGAAACGTGTGCCTTTCTGTTCAAGGTTCTTTTCTTGAATTATTTTGTTGATTATTTCCTCCTCTGTATTTTACTGTTCTTTTTTGTGTTTTTTTTTTTTTTTTAAGATTTTATTTATTTATTTGACAGAGACATAGGGAACACAAGCAGGGGGAGCGGGAATGGGAGAAGCAGACTTCCCGCCAAGCAGGGAGCCCAATGTGGGGCTCAATCCCAGGACCCTGGGTCCACGACTAGAGCTGAAGGGAGACGCTTAACGACTGAGCCACCCAGGCGCCTCTTTTGTTTGTTTTTGTGTGTGTGTGTGTTTTTTTTTCTTGACTAGTCATTATATCAGTATTGTACTTTCTATAGCATATTCTAATATGTTTATCTTTTGGGGGGTGGGGCTATTATTCTTTTATGTTTTTCTTTGATTATTTTTTTAAAAGATATATTTATTTGAGAGAGAGTGTGTGCAAGCACATGATCAAGAGGAGGGGCAGAGGGAGAGGGAGACAAGTAGCCTCCCTGTTGAGTGGGGAGTCTGAGGCGGGGCTCAGTCCCAGGACCCTGAGATCATGACCTGAGCTGAAGTCAAGAGTCAGACACTTAACTGACTGAGCCACCTAGGTGCCCCTTTTCTCTGATTTCTTAGAAATTTTCTCAGCTTTATCTTCTGATCCTTTTATTGACTATTAATTTACTGCTATAATGCTTAGTGACAGCTGTAATGCCTTTAATTGTCAAGAGCTCTTTATTTTCTACATGGTCTCCTACCATTCTGTTCTTTTAAGATGGGTACCACGTCTTATCTTTCTGTCTTTGCTCTTTCCAAAGAATATTGTAAGTGTTTGTTCTTCTTTTGCATGGTTACTTACTTCCAGTTTGCTTTTTCCTGCTTGGTTGTTTTGATCTCTTCCTGATGAAGGACTTTTTCCTTGGCTGTCTTCTCCAAATTAGGAATCTTGAGCACATTGTTGGGACAGGTCAACTTTGAGTTTCACTGTAGGGTAATCTGGGTGGGCCGTTTTTTGGAGAGGACTACTGTCAGATCTTTAGGTCTTTTTCTTAGACTAGTTGCATTCTAAAGAGAGGAGTCTTCTAGTCTTGACTGGAGGGTAAGAGAACGGCTTCCAGTGCTCTAGGATCCAGTTGAGGAATGGTAAAGGGAGGAGGGAAAATTCTTAGCATTTTTTTTTTTTAAGTAGACTCCACACCCAGCATGGAGCCCAACACAGGGCATGAACTCATGACCCTGAGGTCAAGACCTGAGCTAAGATCAAGAGTTGGACACTTAACCGACTGAGCCACCGAGGTGCGCCTTAGCATTTTTAGTTCACTGATCCCACTGAGTTCAGCATCACACCTGTACCTCTGCCTTCAGTAGTTCTTAGCATTGCCTAGGCCAGGAACCCTGTCTTACCATCTTCAGAGAATAAACCTCCAGAAGAGTAGTCACCTAGCAAACTGCAGTGGGGGTGAGGACCTAGGAATGTAAATACTTTTCTTTTTCTTTTGAAGATTTTATTATTTGAGAGAGAGAGAAAGAGCACAAGCCATGGGGAGGGGTAGAGGCAGAGAGAGAAGCAGGCTCCCCACTGAGCAAGGAGCCCAATGTGGGACTCGATCCCAGGACCCTGAGATCAGGACATGAGCCAAAGGCAGACCTGACTGAGCCAGCCAGGCGCCCTTAAATACTTTTCAAATAATGTTCACCTACTGCTCCTTATGTTAGGCTGCCTCCTCCAGTTTTCATTTTCATAGGTACATGGTATAGCCAGTTATTCCTGAGTCTCTGGCAGACTGGTTTCATTCTCAGCCCCATTCACTGCTGACTTGAGAAAAGGGTTGTCTTTCTTGGGTCTGTTGACTCTCATTCATCTGCTTTCTGGCTTTCACATTCTGTTGCTGTTCTTTTTGTCCCCATTTTTGTTGCTATATTATTTCAGAAATAGTGTTAACATACCATATGTATAATATGTATGTGTGTGTAATATATAATTATTAATATATTAATGTTACTATATATTATAATAAATATATATGCCTAAATAACACATATATACATATATACACATATACAATATGATATTTTTATAAATGGGATCATTGACACTACAAACCCCGCCTTTTGGGGCAGGGCTTGGTATAGTCTAACTGATAAATCTTTCTATATCAGCACATTCATACTATGGAATAGCTGTATCATAATTTGTTTAATTAGCTCTTGATTGGGTGCCTTGGTGGCTCAGTCAGTTAAGCATTTGCCTTCAGCCAAGGTCATGATCCCAGGGTCCTGGGCTCAAGTCCCACATCAGGCTCCCTGCTCAGTGGGAAGTCTGCTTCTCCTTCTCCCTCTGCTCCTCCTCCCTGCTCATGCTTGCTCTCTCTCAAATAATAAATAAAATCTTTAAAAAAATTCTTGATAAAAAAAGATATTTAGGTTACTTCGTTTATTTTTCCTATTGTGCATAATTCAACAGTGAGCATCACATTGGCATATTTGTAACATTTCAAATACTCTCTTCTTCATATTTTCCCTTTTCTCTGGTAAATTTTATTTGATTTTAGATTTGGCCATAGACTGAGTTCAAGACATTTCAGATTGTTTCCAGTTAAAAAATGATTGTTACTATGAATGCATATGTATATGTACATGTATATATAAAAAAAATAATGTGAGGGGCACCTGGGTCGTTCAGTCATTTAAGCCTCTGCCTTCGGCTCAGGTCATCCTGGGGTCCTGGGATGGAAACCCCCCTCACCCTGCCCCATTGGGCTCCCTCCTCGGCCAGGAGTCTGCTTTTCCCTCTGCCCCTCACCCCGCTCTCTCCCTCCCTCCCTCTCTTTCTCTCTCTCTCTCCCTTAAATAAATAAAATTTAAAAAAAAATAATGCGAGACCACCTACAAGTCTGGAACACAGACAGCTAGGAGTCTATCCCCTTTGGCATGAGATGGGCTGGGGACGGAACAAGAGAGTGCGTGATGGTTAGAATTCTGTGGAGAAATTTTAAATGTCTTCCACATTTTAGTACTAGAGATCCCCTAAGTAATCTTCCACATTTTAGTACTAGAGATCCCCTAAGTAAACTAGATCCCTGATGAATCACCAAATGGAAAGCTTATCCGCTAATAAACCCTACCACAACACAGTCAAGTTTTAGCAGGTCATCCTTCAGTGTGAATAATCAAGGAAAGCTCCAGCATAAAAGATTGAAACTAAAACAAACAGAAGAAATGACCCTTGAGGAGAGAGATAGTGAAGATAGCAAACATAAACTATTATCTCTGGTTATTATTAATCTCAGAGAACCTATAAGCATCTGTAAAACAAGAACACGATATACTGAAAAGGGAACAAAGAACAAGAAAAACTTGGAAATAAAAACTGAAATTAAAATTCAATAAAGCAGAGTTTGAAGTTGAGGAAAACTTCCAGAAAGTATAAGAAAGCAGTGATGGAAATGTTAGAAGATGAGTGATATCGAGTATCATTCTAGGAATAGTGAAATTAGAGGGGAAGAAATTAACAAGTAACCCACACATACCACTGTTGTTTGAGTATACTCATATGTTTATATCTTTGTTTTTTACAATGAGGAAAGAGACACTAGCATTACTTCTAGAATCGGTCAGCCTGAGGAATCAAGAAGCCATGGAAACCAGCATGCCTGGTTATGTGTAACTATAAAAAGCAATTGGATTTTGAAGAACTGAACAAGAAAAAATCAGCTAGGGTTTTCTTATGAACTGTCTCACAACTATATTATTGATTTGTAGCTCATTTCTTAGTGAGTGCTACATTATATATATAGTGCTTGTTCTTATGTTCTCTCCTTAGTGAGTGCTGTATATACAGTGGTATATTCTCCTCCCCCCACCCCCATATACAAATCAATCACTAGGGTCATCCTGGAATAATCCTTGGGTGGGTGGAGAAATTACCAAGTAACTAAAAGAAGAAAAAATCTTTTTTTTTTTTTTTTTAAGATTTTATTTATTTGACAGAGACAGCGAGAGAGGGAACACAAGCAGGGGGAGTAGGAGAAGGAGAAGCAGGCTTCCCGCTGAGCAAGGAGCCTGACACAGGGCTTGATTCCAGGATCCTGGGATCATGACCTGAGCCAAAGGCAGACACTTAATGACTGAGCCACCCAGGAGCCCCTAAAAGAAGAAAAATCTTCAGAACTGACAGAAATGAATCTTTATGTTTTCTTTAAAGATTTTATTCATTTATTTAAGACAGTGTGTGTGTGAGAGCACCAGCAGGCAGGGTGGGGGTGGTGGTGAGGAAGAGGGAGAAAGGGAGAAGCAAACTCCCTGATGAGCAGGGAGCCAGATGTGGGGCTCGATTCCTGGGATCATGACCTGCGCCTGAGCTGAAGACAGACGCTTAACCAACTGCGCCACCCAGGCGCCCCAGGACATTGAATCTTTATATTGAAAGAACCTATCAAACACCTGAAAAATTAGTGAAGAAGGAGCCATGCCCCAGTGCATTATTATGAATTTTTAAAACACCAGGAATTAAAAACCACTACTAAGAATGAGAAGACAAATGAAAGTAGTGTTTTTAACACAAGCAAAAGTACCTTCAAAATTTTGAAGGGAAATAATTTTCAACTTGGAATTCTGTACCTGGTTAAACTATCCATAAAACAATGAAGTTTGAGGGTTAGGATGTATTTAGACCTATAGACAAAGAATATCTCCTATGTACCTTTTTCAGGAAAGTACTAGATGATGTGCTGCAACCCATGGGAATAAACCAAGAAGGAGGAAGATGGGCAGTTCACTTAACAGTGGGTCTCTGTCAAGAGAAAACAGTGAAGGGAATTCCTAGGATGATGGCTGTTAGAGCAGACCCAGAGAGCAACCACCTAGATGGAGTAGAAAGTAGGCCTTTAGGACAGAGAGATTTGGTGAATAAGGGAACTGGATGGAGTGCTTGACTTTATAGAACAGTTGAAATAAATGTGAAAAGGGGCACCTGGGTGGCTCAGTTGGTTGAGTGTCTGCTTTTGGCTCAGGTCATGAACTCAGGGTCCTGGGATTGAGCCCTGCGTCGGGCTCCCTGCTTGGCAGGGAGCCTGCTTCTCCCTCTCCCTCAGTGCTTCCGCTCGTGCTCTCTCTCTCTCTCAAACAAATAAAATCTTTAAAAAAAAAAAAGAAAGAAATGTGAAAGGCCTACAAAAGGAAGACATAACGTAGAAAAGAAGGACTTTTGGAAACTTGGAAAAATAAACAGCTCTATGAGAAAGGAAGTTTATCAAGTGTGCTGTTTACTTCTGCAGTGAATCACATTTATGTACATTACAAATAGCATATTTAACTAACTAAAGAGAACTATATATAGAAAGTATGACAGGAGATGGGAGTATTAATAAGAAAACATCCTCACTGCTTGTTGGAGACTAAACTTCCTAAGTGAACAAATAGTTACTGTTATCCTCTCTTAATAATATACTATCCGAAGAAATAGTGTTGAGACTTTGCAGGCTGAGGGAGAAAGAAAAAGAGCTGTTGGTTTTCTATTATGAGTCTACATTTGTAGTCATATACACACTGCTTTGATATCCGTTTAAAAAAATTCAGTTATACAGAAAAGTTTAAATGTTTTTAACTGTTGTAATTGTGTCAATTATTTTTTACTTTTAAGAGACTTAGCTAAAGAACATACATA